TCTTTACAGCACCTGACACCTTTTGTTCTGGTTCTGTTCTTTGTAACTTCCCTGTGCTAATTTTAGCTACTTTTTTTGGTTAATTTTAGCTTTTTTTCCTGCTATTTCACATTTCAGCTACAATTCTGCTTCTTTCTGCTATGTTCTACTTTTTTGTGCTTCTGTCTGTTAATAAGTTATTTATGCTTTTTAAAGTTGATTTCTGCTATATTCAGCTATTTGCTGCATTTTAGCTAATATTCAGCTGTTATTTGCTAAAGTTAGATTTTTTAAGATATTACAACTTATTGCTAAGTTCAGCAAACTTGTGCTCCTTATGCTAATTAAAGCATTTCCAGCTACATTTTAGCTGTTTTACAACAAACTTTCACCTTTTTGTACTTTGTTTTTTTTTATTTGCTAATTGTAATGTTTTTAAACACTTTCACCATCTGCGTGCTAATTTCAACTGTAGATGCTACATTTAGCTTATTTTTATGCTAATTTTAGCTTTTTTCTGCTATTTCAGCTCTAATTCTGCTCGTTTCTGCTATTCTTTCTGCTAATTTTTGCTTTTTTGTTCTTTTAGCTTTTCAAATTGATCTCACATTAACTGTTTTGCTATTAATTTATATTTTCTATTGCATAGCTATTTTGTTGAATGAATTAAACATTTTCAGCTCCATTTCAGCTAAATTTTCCAGCAATCAGCATTCACACTAGCATTTTTGCAGGAAATGCATTTCTCTAGTTCGTCTTTGACTTTATATAAGCTAAAATGTTTGGGAACCTATGGTCTAACCCCCATACACCCAGCTGAACCCCGCCCTGCTGGTTTTCTTTATTTTCTGGAAGTTGGCATCCTTCTGTCAACACCACCCAAAGCCTGAGTCATGTGTTTATGTCAGGGTGGGTTTTATTTATTTTTTTCCCACCAGGACCCTCTGATCTTTAGTTACCTGGTAAACCTGTTTGTGTGTGCAGCCCGTGCTGGAGTGTGCGGTGCAGAAGGGGTTAGTTTACAACAAGGTGAATCCCATCTTCCATCACTGGAGAGTAGAGGATCGAAAGTTTGGCCTTACATTCCAGAGTCCTGCCGATGCCATCTCCTTTGAAAAAGGGCTGCAGACTGTCATAGACAAGCTCGACCGAGGTACGCAACCCCAAAATACACGCCGCTTCTTCTCAAAATCGCCGCTGGTGGCACTCATTTAAAACAGATTTGACTTCTTTCTCCTCCTGTTCTCAAGGCTCCGATTCGCCGTCGTCCTCCACGCCAGAAGAGGCAGACACCGAGGACGATGGACAAGCTGTGAGTGTCTTTAGAGCATTTCTTCTTCACTGGAGCTCCTGACTTGTGGCGTTGACGGTCAGCCTCTGTCAGTCTCATACAGGAAGTGAGTCGTCGTCCAACAGCAGAAAGGAGATGCTTCCCAAACCCATCACCATAGTGACAAGCGAGTCCTCGTCTACCTGTTTTGTGCGACCCGAAGAGTTCAGCTTTGGATCCGGCCATGGCGTCACCACTCACACACCTGCTCAGGTCAGTGTTGTCAACTTAGCCATTTTGTTGCTAGATTTAGCAAGTTTTCTGACACTTTTCCTGGTGTTATTAGAGTCTTTTGGAGACTTTGGCGAGCAGCGAGTGGTGCGATGAGCCCCTCCTCCTTTCCAAATTGACAACCGGTCCGACTCCCTGAAGCCTCGTGCAGCAACTTCAGCTTAGAGCTGAGAGGAGACCCCTTTAAATGAGTCATGCTAAACATATTTAGAGTGTTTACTCACGTTTTTTTCTCTTTAACATTGATATATATCTCTCCTACAGCCTGGATAACATATGTTGGCAAATGTCTAATTAGGTGATGACATCATTTAGCGACTTCTAGCGGCTTTTAGGGCAGCCAATAGCTACTTTTCTTATTGAGGCGTTGCCAACAGTGGCTCAGGTAGACTTCAGAGCCACGCCCATCCATGATGCTTCACAGTGAGGATGAGAGCAAAACATCAGAACACGAATATTTCTTTATTCCATCCTGTAAAGAAGTGTTCAAACCCTCATGGCAAACCATTTCATACATCAAGTCTATTACTGACCAAAAAAATTAAACCAGGTGTGTTTTAGTTGGCAAACATCTAAAACCTGAATGAATGTGTAGCTGATAAAATATGAATGGTAAAATAGTTTTGTTTTGTCACTTTATAGGTTGCTGAGATAAAAAAAAACTCATTATGGTTGATTAATTAATTTAAATAAGGTGTGTTAAATCAAGAAGATCTAAAACCTAAAATGCTACATGTTCTGAGTGCCAGGATTGGTTTGAGATTTTAGCTATTTTTAGGTTACTAGCACAGAGACTTTTTTAATATATGACTTAATAGTTTAAACCAGGTGTGTTTAAAAAGGTAAACATTGAAACCCATGGTGTTCCTTGAGGATTGATAAAATATTTGAGATTGTTGACAGTTTTTAGGTTTGCTGAGATAAAAAAATACATTATTGCTGATTAATCAATTTAAATCAGGTGTGTTTAATCAGAAAAAAAATTAAAACCTGCAAGAGTGTACTGACGACCATGATTGAGGAAACACTGCCTTGGGTGGGGTTTTTGCTAATTTTTATGTTCATGCAATATACAGTTTTATGCATGACATAACAATTTAAAACAGGTGTGTTTTAGTAGGTAAACATCTAATCCTAAAGGGATGTGTGGCATGTAGAAGACGATTGAGGAAAAATAGCTATATAGTGAAAAAATTAGTCACTTTTTAGGGAGCTATGATAAAAAAAAATCCTTCAAGGTTGATTAATCAATTTAAACCAGGTCTGTTTAAGTAGACGAACATCTAAACCCCCTTAAGTGTGGTGTGCCTTAAGAACCAGGATTTAAGAAATACTGCTGTAGAATAAGATTGTATCCAGATTTTAGGTAGCTGAGATGAAAACCTTAAATGGTTGATTATTCAATTTAAAGCAGGTGTGTTTAATTCAGAAAACCTGGAAGGGAGTATAGGATTGCGAAACATTACCTTGGGTTGAGATTTTTGCTGATTTATATGTTTGTGGGATACAGACCTTTAATGCATGACCTAATAACTTAAACCAGGTGTGTTTTAGAGGGTAAACAACTAACCCTAAAAGGGATATGCGGCACATAAAAGACGACGGGGGAAAAATAATTATACAGTGATATTTTAGTGACTTTTTAGAGAGCTATGATAAAACTCCTTAATGGTTGATTAATTTAAACCAGGTGTGTTTAAGTAGGTAAACATCTAAAACCCCTGAAGTGCGGTGTGCCTTGAGGACCAGGATTGGGGAAACACTGTTTCAGAATGAGATTACAGACAGATTTGCTGAGATGAAAATTTTAAACCAGTTGTGCAGAACCATAAACCAAAGTAAAACCAATGGGAAACTACGAATCGAGGTCCAGGATCTGAAAATGCTGATACAAAATGATATTTTATGGTTGTTTTAGGTTGCTGAGATGAGATTTATCATCTAAAATCCGGTGTTTTTTAGGGATGGTGGTTTGTCCTGAAGACCAGGATCGGTCTTAGGTTGAGATTTTTGCCATTTTTGTTGCTGAAATGAAATCCTTCAATAAGCAGAGCAGAGAGAACACGCTGTTCCCAACTCACTGTGTAACCCTACACCCTCTCCACAGATCCACACCAGGCCCGGACAGCACCCACTCTCACAAATGACGACTGTGTTGAACCCCCCAGCACCCCCGCCCCCGCCTCCGGCCCCGCCGACTCCTCCTGTGGGTGCCCCGGCCTCGTCGCCCCTGTCCCCACTGTCGCCCACCATTTCGCTGCTGGAGGAAGGGGACCTCCGCAGCGTGGACCCCTGTAAAGACCTGTGGGGTTCTCGAGGTTATGAGGATTACAGACGTGCCGGGGCCACGAGGACTATGGTTGGGGGTCTGACGGGGGGAGTGGTTGTTGGCGGTGGGGGGAGCCTCCAGGACAAGACGGAGCTGTGTGTGGTTCGCTTTGAGAAGGAGCTGGCTGGGGTGGGGACAGCCGGCTGCGAGGTGACGGTGAGCCTGGACAGCAAAGCCTCCCAGCGCCTGTCCTCGTCCTCCCCCACCTGTATGTCCATGCCCAACGCTGTGTCAGGGGTGTCCTCAGGTGCCGGCTCACCCCAGGAGACGGGCAAAGGCTCGCCCTCTCCCTGCTGCATCCACACCTCGATGGCCGCTTCCCGGTCACGGACTCGTAAGAGAGGAGGGGCCGGCGGCGGCAGCGGCGGGGACCCCGGGGCCATCTCGCCGGACGACGACAGCCCGTGCCCCCAGGCGTCGTCGTGCTCGTCCCGCTGCGTGTACTGCCGCTCCGTCTTCAGCGCCTCGGAGAACGGGCGGGGCCGCTGCCGAGACGCCCCCGACCCGGCCCTGCACTGCCTGCGCCAGTGGACCTGTGTGTGGTGCGCAGAGAGCCTGCTCTATCACTGCATGTCGGACTCTGAGGGGGAGTTCTGGGAGCCCTGCTCTTGCGATGACTCTTTGGGGGGCCACCCGCACCCCCTCTGCTGTGCCCGCTGGTTGGCCCTCCTGGCCCTGTCGCTCTTCGTGCCCTGCATGTGCTGCTACCTGCCTCTGCGCGCCTGCTTGCGGTGTGGGGAGAGGTGCGGCTGCTGCGGGGGCAAGCACAAGGCGGTCCGATGAGGCCAGGCGAAGGGGGGGCGATAGGAGAGGATTCTCCGGACCAAGGGGGATTTGGGGTATGGGGAGCATTTGAGGCAGATTAGGTTGGAACGACGCTCTCAGCAGACCCCAGAACTCCATCAAGGCCCTCCAAAGCCCCACAGCCTTCCACTGCATTCTGCTCTTTCTCTTTTTAACCCTGGGGGGTGGGTGGGCGGGGCTTCCTCACTGGTCCTCACCTGCTACAGGTGCACCCAGATCAGGCTCTACAGGAGCCACCTGGAGCCTTCGTAGTGGATTTACCCAAGGATGGCCGATTTAGAGCGAGGTTATCGCAGGAAAGATGGCGGCAATGATGTGTTTCAAATGTCTGTTTTGTTTTTTTATTTAGAACAAAAAATTTAAAAAACAAAAACAAAAGATGTTTATATATATGATTGTTATAATTTTAATTGGTATATTTTATTAAATGTAAAACACATCAACAGAATCCCCAAATGGCACACACATCCTCACAGACATAAGATGTTGGGGAAGTTGTTTGTTTTTGTGTTGGCCTGTTTGTCCATCAGGTGGACAGACGTCACCCTTTACCTCTAAGTTTACCTCAGATGTTACCTTAGGAAGTAAAAAAAAAAATTTAAATAGGTGAGGGAGGTTTGAAACGAGCGAGCACAGTCTTTAAGAAAGCGTCTGAGACCACAAGTAATGTCTTCTAGGGAGAAACATTCACAAAATGCAAAGAGACAATGGATAAGGGGTCGCTGCAATGACAACCACTAAGACTTAAAAGTCTCGTTGTTATCCGTCGTAACCAAACGCTTATTTTCTGCGGAAAAAAACAAAACAGAGAACGTATCTTCAGTAAACACTCACTTTGCACATATTTCACGTCTCTGTAAGTTTTTAATATTAAATAATGAAACTTATTCATCGCTGTAGTTTTTTTTTTTTTTTTTTGAATCAGACAAGGTGCTTAATAAAACTGAGGCCTCCGAGTACACACCCCAGAGGAACTAAACCAACATGAAGGATTTAAAGGAAGAAAAACACCAAAAAGAGAAAAAAAGTGCAATGGTCGAAGAGTATTTTTGTATCAGTTGTTTGAGAATAACTCAAACTTTACCGGCGTTAAAGATGAACAGGAAGTTGAGCTGACCTTTGACCCCCCCCAGATGAAAACAGACACTTGAAAAGAAGGTTGGTCTCAGCTGAGTTTGTCAAGTGTTGCTTTAAAACTAAGAAAAGCTGCTATTTTAAATGAAACACGAGTCAAAATGGTCATAAAATTCTAAATCTGAGGTCGCAGGGTTTAAATTTTCAACTGATGATTAAAACAAATAGCCAATCGGCCAATCACGTGGCATCATTTAGGTGTCTAAACTAGAGGTCCCGTCTTCGATCAAAGAAAAGGTTTGGACTAATTTTTTTTTTAACCAAATGTTCAGAAAGAGCCAACTTGACCTGAGCTTCAGAGTGTGCAGAGTTCGTAAAAATCACAATCAAATCGCGAGATTAAAAAAAAAAAAAAGATCCTCACGCCTAGATTAAATGTCTCCATCTAACATAGGATTTAAATGCAAAGCTATAAAAGGTTAACCCGCACTTCGGTGGAGTTTGAAAGAGTTTACTCCAGATTTACAGATTCTGAAATGTGGGTATGCATTTAACGTAAACACGAGTCAGAATTCGAAAAAAATAAATGCAGAAACTTGAGTCATGTGGTCAACCTACCTAAATCTGAGCGTGCCGCAACAAACCAGTTCTTCCACAGACATTTAAAGTCATTTAAATCTACGCTGTTCTGCTGATCGGTTTGAACTTCAGCGAGTCGTCTGCGTAACTGAATGTGCTGAGCTGCTGCCGTGTGATTGGCTGATTTACTTTTTCTGTCAACAACCTCAACAGGTGGATATAAGAAGTGGCCAATGAGCAAATATTTCACTCAAAACTGTTTCAGTCAGATAAAAAAAATCTTCAGAGTGCGTTTGTGTTCAAATTCTAATTTTTGAAAACACCCGAATTTTTGTTTATTAAAAAAAAGGATAAAAAAACATGATGAAACACATCAAGAACTGAATTAAAACCTAAAAGAAAATACAAGACTATATAGAGAGTTGCTTATTTTAAACAAACGGCCTAGAATTTGCTGAAAGAATGCATTTCGCCTGCCCGTGTCAGAATAATGGATTTAAAATTACTTTGGTCAAACCTTAAAATAATGATCTCTGAGTTTGTTTTGTGTACGACCCCACACCGAAATTCAGCTCAAAATCTGTAAAATTCATTGAGTCATCGCCACTCTAGTGTAGAGGAAGGTCAATCGGCTGTGGCGGCCATCTTGAATTGGGTTAATCGAGTCGTACACGTTCATCCTAACATTATTTCACTCAGATCCAAAGGTTCATGAGATATTTTGCTAACAAAAAGATTTGACAGTAAACGACAAGGTTTTAAACAAAAACACGTTTTTTTTTCACAACTAATCACCTGTGAAAATCTGTGTAATTTCTGTATTTTTTAAGGATCAGTTAGCTGTGGCGGCCATCTTGACTTCTAGAGTAAATCGGCTGTAGGGTACTTAAAGTTTAATCAAAAGTGCGTACAGCGGCGGGCGATAAAGATGACAATAACAGGTTTCTTTAAAATAAAGGTGAAACTTCCCCAACATGACCTCAAATGCGTGGTGAATATTTTAGGTTTAGTTAAAAACTTCTGTTCAAAGTGACTCAAAGACAGGAGAGCCCAAACAAACACCAAGTAAACCCAGTCTCAGCGGCTGGATCCCAGACTGCCGTCAGTACGATACGACGTCCCCGTCCCCCCACCCAACACAAACCTGCAGACCAGACCTGAGCCGTCGGTGCGGATCCTCAGAACCCGTAAAGCCATCGCACACCGTCTCCTGGTTCTGATCCAGAGGTGGTGTTTAGAGTCCGGTTCTGACTGTCCCTCGATCACAGCTGCAGGTCCCATCCTCACATCTCAATAAATGTGCCTTTTGATTTGAGTAATCAATAACTTATGATTTCTGAGTAACTCTGTATTAAGTACTTTAATTTTGGTTTTTTGGGTTTTTGATTTTCTGACAAGTGTGCATATTTTCACATGTATGTATTTATTAGTTTCAAAGTATTTAATGAGATATTACCTGTTTATTTATTTATTGAGATATTTATTCTGATTCTTTATTTTTTTGGAGACAGGTTTTTATCTTTTGTGCTGTCTTACTTCTGACTTTGTGCCAATGTGCTGCTTTGAGGTGTTACATATCGTGGGTTTGTATCATTATTAAACCCTCACTCTATATTTTAACCCGTTTGCCTCTCTTACACGTGAGTGCGTGTGTGTGTGTGTGCGTGTATCTTTTATCAAACAGAGAGGGGAGAAATGATGAAATATAATGGTTCCACTGAAAAACAGTCAGATATTTTTAATTTATAAAGCTATTTAGGGGTTAGTTTAGCTATGTCATCTATGTGTTTGCTAAGGTGGCAGCCATCTTGAATTGGGTTGACTCAAAGTTACATGATACAAACAACCCACCTCAGCAGGTGATAAACAGTCTTGTGTGTTTGAGGATCTCGGTGACGTGGCTACTTGGCTGAATACATGTGCTGCCGTTTGTGTTTGAGGATCTCCGTGGAGGTGAGCTTCAGGTCTTCGTTGCAGACGTCGCAGTGATAAACTCTGGTCAGGCTGGAGGCAGAGGATGAGGAGCCCGCTCTTCCTCCCTCCGACTCTGAAACAGAAACAAAACGGTCGTTGGTCTCGTCGTCCAAACGATGGTTAATCTGTAGAGAAACACGGACAGCCTCTGACCGTTCTCCTGCTGCTGCTCCCCAGCAGGTCTGCAGGAAGCTTCGTGATGCATCCGCTCCAGAGGAGTCAGCGGCAGGTACAGCTCGCAGTTCGGACAGCTCCAGAAAGTTCGCAGACACTCGCTGTACAGGTCCTTCGAATCCTGCAAACACACAAGAGTTCATTTAGAAATATTTTACTAATTTTACCAACATTCCTTCAAAAACATAGTTTTAAATTCTGATTTAGTTAACTGGCTCAGTCTTTGTCTTCCTATGCTATTATTAGCATTTAGCTAGCCTTTAGCTAACTTGTCGCTGCTTTTATCTTTTGGCTACAGTTATGCTACTTTAAATGTTTAGCTATTTTTTGTTACTTTTAGCTTTTAGTTCACCACTGCTATCCAAGTGTTGTTTATTTTACTTTTAGCTAGTGTTTTGCTACTTTAGCCTTTTTGTAAATAAGGCTAACTTAATAATTTTAACTAGCCTTTTACAACTTTTAGCGTCTAGTTAGCATTTTGATACTTTTAGATATTTATATTGCTGCGTTTAACTTTTGGTTACTATTTAGCTAACTTTAGCTATCTTTTAGCTTTTAATTACAATTTTTTTTAGTTGTTACAATGTTACTACTGCTATCTAAATGTTTTATAATTTTAGCTAGTGTTTTGTACTTTGAGCTCACTTTTGAAATTTTTAGCTAACAACTTTTAGCTTTTAGTTACCATTTCTCTACTTTTAGCTTTTTTGCCACCATTAGCTTTTGGTCACCGTTCTGCTAATTTTGGCTACAATTTTGCTACTTTTAGTCTTTAACTTTTAGTTCCAATGTTTCTACTTTTATCTGAGTGTTGCTGTTTTTACTTTTAGTTTGTGTTTTTCTAAACGTTTTCTACTTTAGCTCAGCTAACTTTTGAAACTTTTGAAATTTTGAGATAATTTGATGCTTTTAGGGTTTAGATTTCATTTTGCTTTATTTATCTTTTAGCTAACATACTGCTACTTTTTGATTCTTTGGGCTTTCTAATATCCTACCTCTTAAATTTTAGCTACTGATTTGCTGTTTTTAGCTAGCCTCTTATTACCTTGTCATGTTGAGCTTTTAGCTAGTGTCTGGCTTCATTTTGTTTTGATACCTCAGTTTTAGCTTGTTTAGTAAGTTTCAGCTGTCATTAATTCAGCTCAGCGCTGAATTTTGCAGAAGATTTAACTGATCTTTTTAGCAAATATGTTTTTATCTGCTTTTTTTTGTCTTCATTGAAACTGAAACCTGCAGCTGAAAAATGATAATTTGACACATTTAGATTTTAGCTTTAATTGAGGAAAACAAACTAATATCTAAACAAGAAACAAAGGTAAAACCCGAGACGTGTCTCTGGATTCAGACTCACAGTCAGGCAGTTGTAGGTAAAGAACCCGGTCACTCGCAGACCTCCTTTAATCGGGTCCGGTTTGGCTTCTGCTCCGGGGAATAACGGGTTCAGATTTGGAACTTCAGAGTAAGACGGATCCGACTCGCTCTGAGGACCAACGTACAGGTTCTGGGTCTGGAGAGCTGAGAGCCGCCGAAGGCTGTAAGTGACCTGGAAGGAGGAGGAGTTTATAAAAACAAAAAGTACGCAGAAAAAAACAAAAAAACAAAACTACGAATAAATAATGAAGAGACAGAAATGACTAATGAGCTAAAAATGAACTGTTAGCAAGAAGAAGCAGAATGCTACTACTAATGAACTAAAAGCTAAATGAAATGATAGCTAAGAGAAGAAATAGGTAGCTAAAAACAACACAAGGTTAGCTAAAAGCTATAGTAGCAAAAGTTTAGTTAAAA